CTTATTGTACAGTCTGACAATGATTTGTCTTGCGGGTCTGTCTTGTTCCCGTCCTTCTCCTTCAAACTTTGTCTGCTTTATGAGGCTTTATTTACATTCAAACTACTGACAATCATTTTTAGAATGTTATATTTCGAGATGGAACGTTAGTTTAGATCTACATGCCCACACAGGGGAAAAATTAATATCTCGTTTGATTTGCAAAGCCCACGCATGTGAGACTTCAGAAAAAAATGAAAAGAATGTGAAGCCCTGCTACAGAAAGTGTATTCTTTTGTGATGAATGTTATTTCTTCCGAGAAACTAGCTCTGACCCTGAAACTCTGCTCAAAAGTGCTGCTTTTCATTCTCTGACAGATTCAAACAAGCAGCTGCACATTAGCGCTGCAGCCGACACCACTCACACATGCATTTGGAATCTGTCATTTCTACCTCTGTCACTTTGGACCCGGATGACTTGCTAAAAGCCCGACAATGGAACTATGAATGGCCTTTGTTTGAAGGGGACATTACAGGTAGACGGACAGCTTTCCCCCAATCGTGTTGAGGAGGGATACTGTTCAAAAATAGAATTAACATTTTCCCAAAACCTCAGGGAAGAAAGTGGTCAGAGGATTCAACATCTCAGAATTATTTTTATTTCCATTGTGAGGAACATGAAGTCACAAACTAGGAATTTGCTTTAGCTCAAGGTTTGTTTATCCCCATAGTGAACTTTGTCCTCTGCATTTGACCCATCTGCCTCTCTCAGGAGCAGTGGTTGCTGTAGTAATCCATCTACCAAGTTCATTAATTAATTTTCTACTTCTTTATTAGTCCATTTCTGGGTCGGGGGGTTGACAATCAGAGCTGCCACCCAATGCTCATAGAACCAGTCCCTCGCTGATCCTCCGGCAGGTGGTGGGTCCATAGGAAGATGGCTTCTCCGTCAGCGGTGACACAGACTGAATCTTGCAGCGGGGGCTTAAGGCAATGCCGGGTTTGGTGTCTTGCCCAGGGACACAAGTGTTGTCAACCGCAAATCTATAACCAACACCATTTCTCACAAAGTACTATCCATCAGAGCGGACTCCTAAGCACACTTACTTGTTTTGTCGTTAGAGATTTGAGAATTAGAACGACACCCTTTTTAGTTCTGCGCCACATGTTACTTTACCAGTGAGATTAGCTCGACCCGGTGAGTTCTGGCAACCCGGATCACTGACTTTCTGATTGGTAAAATGGAGGAGGGCGGGACATTAAATACTGTTATCAGTTAAAAAAGTATTGGAAAAGAGACTGTTTCATTAATTCCTTTTGACAGATTGGGCCATGAAGATCTTACATATTGCTACTTTAAATCTGCTCAACGCTAACTTGGTTCACATATTTGCAGAAATATAAGCGTAAACGTGACTAAAAACTTCTGAGGTTAATTGTAAAAGTAGTTTTATTCTTTCTTATATTGTTTTTCATCCTATTTTCTGTACACGGTGTCATGCGCAAGGTCTAAACATGTTTGTACATAGCAACTTTTATCACGTACGCGACATCGTTGCCATGACGACGCCTAAAATAAGCACGAGGCTAAAACACGGCTTTCTTAATGACTTTTATTTAACGCGCAAAGGTGATTAGAAGTGTGTGTGTGTAGGTGTGTGTGTACGTGTGTGTGTGTGTGTGTGTGTGTGTATCGCTGTGACCCCCTGCAGTGAGGCTCTCATTAACTTTGTTTATAAGGGAGATGGAGCTCACAGCAGCGTGGGCGCATTGTCAAGTGTAAACAGTGAGTCTGATGACACTGACGCCCAACAGCCTCGCAAATGCACACACGCACACACGCACGCACACGCACGCGCACGCACGCACACACACACACACACACACACGCTCACAAACCTGCACAGATACACACAAATGTAAATGTACACATAGACACACAAAATAAGTAGTTATAGTAGAACTTTGTCCAAGTCTTCTCATCATGTAGTTTTATGAAGTGTTGTGTGTTCATAGAGTGGGTAAATGGAAGAATTTAGAAGTCCACTTTATTTAGCAATAAATTAATAGCACATTTAACTTTTGTCATGCCAGAGTTGTTAGTTTAAAAATACCCACAATAAAAAACAAAAGAATACACATAGTCATTAAAGCTCTGTACTGCATGCACCTGTTCTGCCCTGCATAGTAAATATTCACTTAAAGTTGTTTTAACGCAGATATAGCAACTTTACTGTTGTAAATACTTGGAGTGAGTACTGAGTGCCTCAGCGGATATAAATCCTCTCAGCAGTAGAAAAAAATAAATTTTACAGTGATTTTCAATGGGACCACACCAGGATCTCCAGCATTAAATCTAGGTCCACACTATGGCACCTGGTGTTCCCAGAGGTCCCCCATCACGGTGCGAACCAAACCCTGCCCTGCTTAGCCAGAGGTCTGATGGGATCAGGCTTTCACATGTAGGGATGGTTATATCCTTTCTGGGAGTGTGTGCTTGTAAACGTACTGCCATAGTGAGTTTATCTGTGCCGCGGCCACGCACACACACACACACACACACACACACACACACACACACACACACACACACACACACACACACACACACACACACAGACACACATACACACACACACACACACACACACACACACACACACACACACACACACACACACAGACACACATACGCCATTCATATTCACAGATCAGAGTGTCATTCATCACCTGCAGACTGCTCTTCTCTGTCCCACCGAGCGCCCATTCTTCAGCCCATGCATTGTTCACTCCATGCCAAATGCATACACACACACGCACACGCACGCACACGCACGCACACACACGCACACACACACACACACACACGCACACGCATGCACACACACACACACACACGCACACGCACACTTCTGTCTTCTCTCAGGTCAGGGGCGAGCCAGAGCTGTGCCGAGGGAAGTTGCTGCTGCCGAACACAAACGCCATAAGTCAATAAGATGTGGGTTTTTTAATGAAATCGTTCATCATTGCACCGTTTGCAGTCGGACTGACTCAGGATGGAATGACGAGGCTTTACTGACATTTCTAATGTAACGCTCTTTAGAAAGTGGCAGAGGAGAAAAATAGCCTTCATTATACCAAAAGATACAGATTGGAATATTGCTGATTTTACGATGTTCAGGTTCACTTGAGGAATGTCGTTGTCTCTGATGTTTACTCAGATGTTTACTCAAAGACAAGGGAGACATTTCTTGTTTCTCTTTTTAAAACATGATAATGTACTTGTCCCATTGGCCAATCATGTTTTTGCATCGTAAGATTAAAATGTTGACTATTACTTTTCTCTTGAAAATAAATGTAGTTTTTGTGTGGACCATCGCGTAGAAGCAGAGACGTGAGATATAAACACAAAAAATAATGAACTATAATCACTGATTACTTCTAATTAGTATTTTTATCTATTGGCCAAATCCAGCACGTCCAATTAAAAACATTGACCTTCATTTCCAGTTAAAAAAGCTAATTTTGGCAAAAAAAGATAGATTCACAGAGTTGTTTGTTTCTGGATTTATCTGATGTGATCTGAGCCACTTTTCCAGATTACGTGCATTAAAAGTACTCAGTGATATTAAAGCGTTTACGTGATTGTCTGATCCTTTTCAACACGGTTGACTTTCTCAACAGGAACCCGATGCTACACTCACTATCTTTAGCATCACTTCTTGTGTATTAAAGCAACATAATAGAGCTCTCTTTTCTCCTCTGTTGCATAATCCTTGTCCCTGTGTCTGCAGACCGGACTTTTCTCTCAATTTATAATATTTCAACATATCGTGATAATAGCAGGTTATTCGTGTTCAGTGTTGGGTACAATACTGAATACATGACCTAACATGTATTATACTTTGGAAAAAATACTATCCGTAGTCCGAATATTTCGAATTAATTTACTTTTAAAATGTACTCAATATGCAATATTTCATATGGATTCAATGATTCTATGATTGGTTTTCTGCCAAGAAAAAGGTTTCAGATCAGCCATTATGTACCCTGTGATTTTCAGAAAGTAACTGTGTTCTAAATACTAGACGTTAAAGTAGTAATTGTAACGGAGTAGTGACTCAGAAAGAGTATTTTCAACACATAACAGAGTTACATGTTTTCCGTTACTCCCCAACACCGTCTGTGTTGCTGTTTTCAGCTGGTCCTTCACAGTGACATCTTTCAGCCAATCAGCTGCAGGCTCGGTCCAGTCACGTTTAGTATCGACTGCACTCTACTTGGCCTCACACAGCGCAGCAGCGCCCCCAACAGGACCGGCTGACAGGCCAATTACACTCTGCTTTATAAGGAGCAACTTACGTAGCATTATCGAAATGAAGTAAATGACAATTCACAAAACTTAATTACAGCCCATACTTTTTAAACGTCAGAAAGAAGCTCTGTCTTTGACGTCATGGTCGAATTGTGAGCTTGAAAGCAGGATACAGACAGAAGGGGTGGGGGAAGTGTTTGCACAATTTTTTTCCAGAATGTCCTGATATTGGCGTGGATGGGACCAAATGGCTGGTCTGGGAGAACAGTAATATGATTAAATACTTGAAAAAGAAAATGATATGTCTCCTTTGAATGTGTTGATGATGCTGAATGCATCTACTGTATCTTCTAATGTATTCCACTGGATTTACATTACATTAATGGACCATCTCTTTCTCATCTCTCCTGACTTTTTATCCAACCTCTTCCTTTTGGATGCACGTTCCAGCTCATTGACCAGCGCGTAGGATCTGAGGCGTCTCATTCTGTAATGGACCTAAGCTTTTACCCAAGAGGTGTGCTTAGGAGTCCGCTCTGATGGATAGTGCTGAGTGCGGCTGGAGGTGCGAACAGGCCATTTTCTGGTGCCTTCCACGGTGTGTCTGCGGGGCTGCGGTCGCTAACAGTCAATGAAATGCATCGGGACATGTTACATTGAGTGTGGATGGAGACGGAAAGCCATTTCAATGTCATTATTCTTGTCTTCAGGTGGCAGACGGCGTGACGCGCTGATAAGAGTTGGGAGGGGTCGGCCCAGGCTCCGCTGAAGTCCTCGAGGAAAGTTTGAAATGAGATGCGCTGAGGTAGAACCGGCTGGGTGAGATATTTTTCACACAAATCCAATTCAGTAATGCCTTATTATGATTTGTTTATTTATCCATGGTTTCTGAATCTTGATTAAAGAACAATTATATATTATTAGTGCTAATGTTGTCAAAGGATCTTCAGAACCCTTACTTTGGCTTTTCATGTTTGAGAAAGTGAAATCGTTTCTTAGGTAGAAAATATGTATACACATATAATAGTAGAATGCACCAACACTGTCATCTAGTGGTAGAAGTGGGAAATTGTATTATGCTTAATTTACTTTTAAGATCAAGGTGGGACGGACTAATTGAAGGCTTACAAGTATCACCTGTCTAATTTTCAGGCAATACCAAAAAACAGCGAGAAAACTGCTTTGTCCATGACATTATAATCTGAGGATTTGTACCCGTTTGGAAAAAGGACAACCACAGGAGCGTGCCGTTTTAAAAGGTTGCAGGTGTGCTCCTCCTAATCCCTGGAGACACCAGACCATCCTCAGCGGACGCCATTTACTTTGCACTGGAAAACGGAAACAAGTCGTATGTAGCTCTGAAAAAGTTATTGTTTTGTGCTTTGCAGTCAATATTTTGTATTTTGGAGCTGTACGTTTTACTGCTGTACATGGTTTTACCCTGATCCAGACCAGAGCAGAGAGAATGCAAGGTCCTAACCGAGCGGAACCAAGAGGTTGAAGATGAATGGATGAATAATCACAACACCCAATCAAATTATAAAGTTAGAATCAGAAAGAGAATCAAGTATCAATTTATGTGAAATTTGCAGAAAAAAAATTACATTGGAATACAAACAGGAGACACCGGGGGCACCAACAAACAAAGCACACGCACAAACAGCGTCAATAAAAATAGCGAGACACAGTGAGGCAAATATAAAACTCTTAAAAGCATTATTAAGACGCTACAAAGGAGGAGCTCCAAGAGAAGCAGATCTCAGGACGTTCTGTTCAGTCTTATAACCGCCTGAGGGAAGAAGGCGGGTGGTCCTGAATGGCGGGTGGTCCTGCACCGCACGCACCGGAATCTTCTCCTCGAGGGAAGAGGCTGGAACAAGGCCGCTCCAGGATGACCAGAGGAGTCATTTACGATCCTCAAGGCTCGGTTTAAGAGTCTGCTCTCATACAGAGCCTCCAGAACGGGCATCTCACAGTTCACAGTCCTCCGAGCAGAACCAACCACTTTGTTCAGAGCTGTCTTTTCTTTGGCAGTGATGAAAGTGACATTGTATATAATTGTGTTTGAATATATCAAGTTGCGGTGACACTACTAAGTATCAAGATGTCTCACACACAAGATACTTTTTCCGTGTGGAGCCAACTTCCAGAAATACAGTGGCCGGACGTCTTGTTTCAATTGGTTCTAACAGTTGATAGTGATTGACATTATAAAAGAAGTTGCTGAATAAAAAGACTGAACTGAACCTTCGCCTCCTGTTTTAACAACTTCTCCATCGCTGAAATGGTAATTCATTTTTGTTAAGCTCAACTGTATGAATTATTGTCATTATGTACTTGAGAAAATATATATTGACTTGGGTAATGTTCAACCCTTTTACCTATGTCTGGTCTTGAAGCCTCTTCCTGCTTTGTAAATGGTAGGACCCCTGGACACTGGGGAGTTCAGCATCGTAGGCGTATTGACTCGTACCTTCATTGTCTGCTGGGCGTCTGCAGCCATCATTCACTGTGTCAGGAGGAAGCAGCTCAGAGCCATTATTCTGCTCTTTTGTCTAAGACTGTGCTGCGTATGTAATGGATGCGCATCGGTCCTGACAGACGTGCGGAACATTTGCACAGTTCATGTCTGCAGCCCCTTCCCCGAAGCTTCAGTCCTGCACCGAAATGAAATTAATTGAATGTCTATTATGTCCGACTTTACACAGACGCTCCAGGATGTGAGACCCGTGTGGCAATCTCAAGAAGAGAGTTGGCTTTACTCTCCAGCTAGCTCCCCCCAGAAGGATCTACGTGGTCTCATCCAAAGACCTTTTGGTTAAATTGTATCTTATGTAAGGTGCACTTTATTTATCCCTGTAGGGCAATTCATCCTCTGCATTTGACCCATCCTGGGGCAGTGGTGTAAAAACCAGGGCCACTTGAGTTCACCAGACTAGTCCAGGGGCAGACTTTACGAACTGAAAAACTCTCTTGACTGGTATTGGGCTGACACTGACACTGACCCTGAGGGCCGCAATTGGCCCCCGGGCCTGAATTTGGACATGCCTTGCATTAGGGCGTCTATCAGGTGCAGTGATCGCACCTGATGAAACTTTGAAACCTGGTCAGGACTACCAGGAGCTGGAGGATTTTACCTATTGTCTATGTTTTTAGTGGTATAGGGGAAACGAAAACCTACGTAGACACAAGGAGAACATGCAAACTCCGCTCATAAAGACCCTGTTCTGATTCAAACCCAGGACTTTCTTGCCTAGAAGCGAGAGTGCTATCCACTCAGACACCGTGCCGCCTACTCATTATTTAATTTAAATTGATGAAGTTGATATTTGTGGAGATTTGAGTCGTCAAATTGAGTGTTTAGTAGATTGGATTTGTGATTCTGCTTTGAGGATCCTTCCGAAAGAGTTGATGATATAGTTAATGCCCAGGGGAGAATGTGGATTGAGAGAATGAAAGTGCTGCACTTCTCTATTTCTGTAAAGAGAGGAGCGATGGTGGATTATATTACCACAACCAGTGTCGATATTAACAGTGTTATAGAATAAGGGCTTTAACACTACGACTCCCACAAATTATGAAACTAATAGAACTCCCAGAGACATCATTTTGACTGCTCTCATTCGAGAAATTAACCAAACAAGTTTTTCTTATTTTTCTTTTTTTAACCTTTACCCACCTTCAACAATTGCTCAAATATGTTTATATAACTTCAAATACATCAAAAACGGCTGACAATAAACTGTAAGTTGCTATGGGAACCAGAACTGAACCAGTCCAGGACCAGAACCAGTCAAGAACCAGCACCTTGAAAAAATGTCTAAAAACTGTCAAAGAAAGAAAACTTACTAAAAGGGCAAGATTTAAATTTTACATTCAAATGAATTTAACTAATATTTTACTCAACTTTCAAAATAAAAAGGACAACTTCATACGAAAATTATGACATAGAAATAAACCAGACATGGAAAGGGAAAAAGTCAGAAATTTATGAAGATCAGAAATGTTCATATGCTGAGTCAATACACTTTCAAAACAGAGAGAAAGGAATCTGGTACTGCTTGATCACCTGGAGACACGTGATGGTGTGACTGACTCTACAGTGGTTGTTTCTGGATGCAGTCAGTCTGAGGTCCTGTTCACACAGAGACACTGCGACAGTAAAACGATAGAGTTGGCTATCGGATTAGCATTTCATTCACACAGCGATGGTGTTTCAAATATACAGATGCGCTGTGCGGCGGGGGCCGTTTTACAGCCGTGTGAAGAAGATGGTGGGAACTCTCTGGCTGCGCAGTAGCCGAGAACAAACGTAAACAACAATGGTGGCTGATCAACTCATGCTATTTGTGCTTCGAGCGATACAACTTTGTCCGTCCAAACAAAATCATGCAAAGCTGTAGTTGCGGTTTCCATGTTCGCTGCTACTGTTAAATAAAGAATGATGTTGGGGAATTCTTTCTCGTCTTTGCAGTGCCCTCAGGAGGATATTGTTATACTGCTGGGGCGTTGTAAAGTTCCACTGACCCTACTGGCATTAACACAGAAATGTGTTTGTGTGTAGGTCTACCCAATTTTGTCGCATTAACCAGATTCTCATGTACTCCACAAGAATCCATTCTAAACCTTCTCCAGGTTTGGGTAGTTTGCTTTGTTCTCCTCTGACCTGGACAGTGAAAATACAAACATTTCTTCCATAGTCGAGGAGAATGCATCAAGACAGGCTGGCTAAGTGGTTTGGACTCTCGCTTCTCAGCAAGACTGTCCTGGGTTTGAAACCTGGTCGGAACAGGGCTTTGGAGCACCGCTGTAATGGGTCTAGGCAGAGAAAAAACAGCTGTCACATCGTAGTCGAGCCTAAAACCAATCTCCCACAGCAGTGTAGACTCTCTTCGAGTCTTTAACAATAGAATTATAAGTATCCACAACAAACTAGAGGAAACCACCCCTGGCATTAGTGATGAACAGGCTGAAGCTGAAGTTAATGTCCCGCTTAGACTCTTCAGTGCATGGGCCTGGACCAGATCATGACTGTGAGCCAAGCGGAAGTGATCTCTGTGGTCACACCCTCTAAAACCTGATCTTACATTATAGACCCAATCCTTGGCTTTTCAAAGACACTCTACCCTTAATAATAGACCTTATCTTAAATATTTGAAACACACCTATAAAAGCTTTCAAAACCGCAGTAATCAAACCTCTGATCCTCTGACCATCATTTAAAAGCATGACATTGACTTCCTCTGAGACACACAGCTTTGAAACCAAACCAAAGAGATCAGTTAGAAAAGCTTATCTTCTGCATAAAAGCCTTAAAACATGGATGACCTTAAACTATCTGCTCCTTAACCCGTAAAAAACAGAAGTAATCCTACATGGCCCCAAATGTCTGCATGACTCGCTCGCTGATCAGATAATCAGACTTGATAATGTTCGTATGGACCAGAGCAATACTGTAAAGAATCTTGGAGTTCTAAAATAAAGCTCTCCTTCAAAGCACATAAAAACATGTTCATTAACTAAAATAGCATATTAACATGCTCAACATTAGCTAAAATCAGGGATATTCTTCTTAAAAGGGATGCAGAAAAACTGATCCATGCATTTGTCACCGCTGCAGCTTAATGACTGCCGCCCTGCTGGCAGCGTGCCCTAAATCCTCTATCAAAAGCTTCCAGCTCACACAGCAGCATGGAACTGTGCGTAACAGGCACTAACATGTGGGAACACATTACTCCAGTGTTAAAATCACTCTTCTGGCTTCCTGTGGAGAAAAGAATCAAATTTTAAATTCTTCTTTTAACACCCAAGGCAATGGTATGGCTCCCTCCTGCCTCCAAGATACATTAGTATCATATCAAGCAGGCCGAGCACTGCGCTCGCAAAACACCAGACGTCTGGTGGTTCTTAAATGTCAAAAAGCAAAGTCGGAGCCAGAGCAATTAGCTCCTAAGCTCCTACACTGTCGAATCAGCTCCCCGTCCATGTCAAGAAGAAAAACAATGATATAGAAGTAAACTAGATAGGAACATGATGAAAACAGCAACTGTATATGAGTAATTATACTTCAAAAACTAAAAACTCTTGAAGTTCTAGTGTTAACTTTTACTTACATGAAAAAAGGTACATAGAGGACCATGAATACATCTTAAATGGACCTTCCCAACGGTTTCTCTTTTTCTTCCACTGGGTTTTTAGAGTTTTTAGAGTTTCTCCTTGCCGATGCAGTCTAAGGACAGCGGTGATGATCCAGGACACTCAACATTCAAAGACATTTATGGACATTGGTCATCTGCCCCTCATGGACCAATGGATCTACAAGTATGTGCTTTTTAATCATTGAATTTCTTGTGTTTGAACTGTTCAATTCTCTAATCTGGGTTAGTGAATTCAACCGTTTTGTTAACTCCTCCGAAATAACGACTGTTGTGATTCAGGGCTATACAAAAATACATTGAATTGATTATGACACACAACATTGGCAAATCAGCATCGATAATACAATTGCATAACATTCCATCTCAACATTTGCCGTCATTGCCACGGATATAACGGCGCTTTGATATCCGTGTCCCGTCCCGTGGCGCTGGCTGATGTGTCCTCGCCCCCCGTCACGAGAGCAGCTCAGAAGCTCTCATGTCTCCCTGGCTCCGAGTCAAGCTGCTGATATTCCCCACGGCAGGCGGGCGCCAGAGCAAACAGAGACATCCTCCCAGTGTGTGCTTTCACCACTGACACAGCCTCAACGCTCTCCCCAGAATGTGACAGCTCACCGCCTTTCGACAGTTTTTTTTTGCATTAAAAGGAACAAAACAAGACATTAGAGATTTTATACTTACTTGTTCTTAGGCTAAAGTATGCCGCAGAGATTTGATACGTAATTCTTGTTTTTTCATGATGTTTAAGTTGGAGATTTCAGGCTTTTCTCCCACTGAGATTTTCCTTTAACCATTTATTAACATTTATGGACATTGGTCATCCGCCCCCTATGGAGCATTACAATGTGTTTTTTTTTATCATTGCATTTCTTGTGTTTGAACCGCTTGATTCTTTGATCTGTGTTGGCGAATTCAACGGTTGTGCAAAGTCCTCCGGGATATTTAATGTGATTTAGGGCTTTAGAAGAATACATTGAATTGAAAAGAATTGTGTTAAAGCTATAGACATTACACTTGCTTATTTGTTATGCTAAAGTGTTTTTTTTTTAGATTTTTTGGTTTAAAGTTTATCTATACAAAAAAAAAAAAAAATTCGGAGCACACAACACATTTATTCATTCATTTTTGTTCTCCTCATTCCCATTGTGCTTTAAACACTGGTGCAACACTGACATTTCCCCACTGTAGGACAACTAAAGGACTGCAAGGAAACAGACACAATAACAATATCCGTATAACATGCAGGAGACATTTGGGTTAGAATTCACACATAAGTAAGTAATCTTTATTTAAATAGCGCATTTTTACAGACCAAGATCACCTAAAGCGCTTTACATTGTTTAGA